TCTGGCACTGTAGACAACATATAATTTAGAAAATGATGTATTTCTTAATGGTTTAGTAGAGCCGAGCCCTCAACTATGTTCTGCTCGTCTTAACACAACTTGATTTGGGGAAAGCGACTAAACAGACGTCTCCTATACCTCTAGTGAAGGCACTGTTTTCACCTGACTTTTCAAAAAAGTTTTAGCCATAAAAAAGTACAATAATCAAAGCGCAACATTTTTTGTACTACTTATAATCAGAGTTTATGTTTAAGAGAGAGAGAGAGAATTCTGTGATCGTTGTTACCTATCATATAATAAGCCAATGTTTGGCCAATAAGTAACTTTCAAACAATTCATTTTGTTTAATAAGAGTCTTATCGACAACTGACACAACACTCTCGGATCACTTACACTGTGGTGTAGGCCTAATGGGAACCAGTGGGCCAACCATTCTATTCTCTTTCGCTAAATTTACAGTCATTTTAAATAATACTCTATAATATAATGCATCCAACATTTAAGTAGCTCTCTCTCTCTCTCTCTCTCTCTCTCTCTCTCTCGGTCTCCCTTTCTCTTAAGAATAACTCATATTTAGTGATAATATCTTAAGCCCAGCCCTAAAATTCTTTTTCAAAAGTGAAGACCCGCTCTAATATCATATCATATTTAATATCGAATTACAATTTATGGCAAATCTTTACAATAAATTCCACTTGAATTGAGTGTAATATTTCATTTAATCCATATATTATATTTATTAGTCCTTATAAATCGCTACCAAAAAATTGTTATCAAAAAAATGTACCAAAAATAAAAGACAACATTAAACTACTGATGATTTTGATGAACCTGTTCTCCAGCAACCGATAAAATCATTTATGAATTTTTAACGATATCTGTATATCATATAATTTATAAATATTATGTTTAATACAACTTTTACTAAGCGTTGTTTTCACTCTATTATGTGATCAGAATATATTTGATTATATTTGATGGAAATTTAATATTTTCTAACAAAAAATATTTACTTTTTCTATTAAATTTATTTTATTTTTTAGTACATAAATAATTAATAACTTCTTTAAAATAGTCCAAAATTATCAAATCTATGACAATATCATAAATCAAATAAATAGCAAAAACAATAGTATGTATAAGCCTAAGAAAAGAAGCTTAAAAATATACTTATCGTAGGTACTGTAGTTAACACACTTATTATTGAATTAATAATTAAATTTTTTGCACTTTAAAAGACCTGTTTAATCTTACTGTGTATAATACACTGTATATCTCTACTAATTTTAACTACTAATGCACTTATAAGCTATTAGAAGATTTTCAATTGATTTGATATTCATCAATTTGCATTTTCCAACTTTAGAAATTTTATCAACATCAATTAGGTTGGTTCCTAATGCTATGCAAATGTGGAAACACATTTTAATAAGGTATATTGGTCGCGGATGCCAATTTAGACGTCTAACTTTAAAAATAATTAGTTAAACAATGTTTTTAACATTAATTATATTCTGTTTTAAATATACAGATTTTCTGTAATGTCTCAAATAAAACTAACTTTTATTATCTAACTTTATTATAGGTTTAAAATTTGGACTCATTATTAAATAATATAGATTTGTTTTATCTATAGATAGAAATTATTGTTTTCATAATTTACTTTAAACGACTTTTGCTTTAAAATTATTGTTTTTATTATTAGTTTTGGAGAAATGAATCATAAATGGAAGATATCATACAAAAGACTTCTTAGAAGTTTAGTTCAAAAAACACATTAAGTATTATTATATTTATTAAATTACTAAATAAATCCTCATTTAAGTGAAGAATTTGAAGAATAAATATTATACACCATTATATCATAATATCATTGCAATTATGTTTGTATTATATTATCTCTCATATAATAAACTAATTATATTAGAAATATAAAAGTTATATTCTTATCAATTCATTAATTAAGTCATTCACAATAATTAATTCATTTTTCACTCATTATATGTCATGAATTGTTGATTTAATGCGAGTACCCGTCCCTCACACCCTCACCCCTTGTACACCTAAACTCCGTCTAATTATTATTGAATTGTTTGAATGCATAATCAGTTTGTAATATAATATCAAACAATTCTTATACAGACAATAGGTTCATAAGAAGTGCTGAAATGGCAGTGAATTAGACTCCAGGTATTCATATAGGAAAGCTATGGAAAGTCTCAGCCAAATATAATTGAATGAATGTTTGTTACGGCATTGAATGCCATCTATGGGTCGGTGTATAGTGTCATACAATGACTGCCAGAATATGTGAGACTCATATTGTTTACAGAATATAAGCCATGAATTGAACGCCATTTCAATGCAACCATTGTTTACGACAAGTGTTTACGACTTAATGATTATATTGACGATGATTGTCACCATTGGTTAGTCTTATCAGTGATAGTGGTTGTAGTGAGCGATGGATATGTCGTCAATAGAGCTGTTGAACGTGGAGTCGGTGTCACCACTGATGCGGTCGCTGCACAAGACGGATGAGCTGTACGGCGAGGAGCGGGTGGACACCCCGTGGGGACAGTTGTGTGTCTTGCATCAGGGCATGGATGTGAGTCTCGGCAAACCGGTGATCCTCACGTACCACGACTTGGGCCTCAACACAGTGTCCAACTTCCAGGCCTTCTTCAACTTCATGGACATAAAGCTGTTGTTGCAGTCCTTCTGCGTCTTCCACGTGACGGCGCCGGGAATGGAGGACAACGCGCCCCCCCTTCCCGACAACTATGTCTACCCAACCCTCGACCAAATGGCACAACAGATCCAATCGGTGTGCAAACACTACAGCATTAAGACATTCATCGGTTTCGGAGTGAGTCTTATGTCTTGTAATTGCTTACAAACCACTTATTAATTGCAATGAAAATATTTTGTCAATAATTACTTCAACTCTTATCTAATGATTAAAATGAGATATTTGTTGACCAAATATCTCGAGACAGGCATTAAGTATATATATAATTAGATGTCTAACAAGTGGTAAACGTTTGCATGAATGCGTCCATTGATTGCAGAATTGATTTAATGATATGAAGAGAGCGAGGAATTTAAAGCCCAATAAAATGCAAATCATTTTCAATGCAATTCAATGGCATAGATATGGAGAGATATAGAGATGATTGTCTCATTTGAATTGAAAATCAATTGAAATCTCTTTCTCACATTTATTATTAAAACTTGTTTTAATGTCCTTTCGTTTGCAACCTATAATTAAAGTTAATATCAAGTATTTAATGCATAAAAATATAAATAATTTTTTTCAATATATGATTAGTGAATAATAAATCGATTAGTTTGTGGCAACATTTTCTAACATAACAGTCATTCACATTAAATGCACTCAAATTATTGGCAAAGCATTTGAGTGTAATTTTATCATGTAATAACAATTGATTAATACCTGTATTATACCTGTACTTAACTATTGTTATGCACCCAAACTATCTGTACCTATAGGTAGGCGCCGGCGCCAACATTCTGTGCCGTTTTGCACTCAATAGTCCCGATGTAGTGGACGGTCTGTTTCTGATAAACCCGACGTCAACCCAGTCCTCGTGGAGTGAATGGCTGTTCCAGAAGCTGAATGTGTATTACTTGGGCTCCGGGAACAACAACAACGGTGCGAGTGTGAGCCCCTTCCCGGTGACGACACAGAACTACCTAATGTGGCACCACTTCGGCAAACAGACGGAGGACCGGAACCGCGATTTGGTGGAGACGTATCGCACCTACTTCTCCGGTCGATCGATGAATGCCCGCAATCTGTCGCTGTTTATCGACTCGTATATAAAGCGCACGGATTTGGGTATCGCTCGCGGAGACAAAGAGCGCTCATTCAAGTGCTCAGTGCTCGTGCTGTGCGGCGCCCTCTCGCCCCACGTGGACGACACGGTCACTATGAACGGACGGCTCGACCCCTCCAACAGCACTTGGATGAAGCTGTCGGACTGCGCGATGGTTCTCGAGGAACAGCCGGGCAAAGTGTCCGAGGCGTTCCGTCTCTTCCTACAGGGCTTGGGCTACGCTCTGACCGCTTATGAGAGAAGGCGTTCATCCCTTCGCAAAATGAGTCTCTCGAGTGACAGCGGAGATGCCATTAATGGCAACACTTTGAATGGTCTGAATGGCTCCGACAGTCGCAAGAATTCCATCGATGAGGAGTCCACCGAAGGGGGCGTTCACATCGTCGAGAATCCTATCGCTAACCGCTAGACAGCTCTCCACAGCTATACCTCCATAATGACACGGATTTGCAACGAATAGATCTAATGATTAGATTTAATGGTTTGCCTCTCAATAACCATATAATCGTAACCATATAATCACAATATATTTGTGTTCCATATATACCTATATCTCAATTAAACGGTTGACTCAAACCTTTATGAATACTAGAGTAGAGAATTTCATTTAATGAATATTATTTGAAATGAGATAAAACTTACTTAAGAAGAATCTAATGCTCTGTAGTGTTGAGTCTATTAATAATATGCAGTTGTGCTGCAAATATATTATTCAAGATTTACTCTAAAGTATAATTTTGTTTACTTTCATGTAAAACAAGGATACGATTGAAGAGAAAGTAATTTTTTATCGCAAAAGATTTTTACTGAATGAATATATCAGAGAATTTTTGTATGATTTGATAAATATATGCATTTTTGGTACAGAATTTGAACTACGATTTTATATTTATGTGAGTAATGTATTCCGGTTGTCGTTCCCCTCAATTAAATGATTACTTAAGGCTAGTCCAGTGTTTAACTTTCATTTGTAATGAATGTTTGAACAAAGGGTAAGGAATCAGTATATTGTAAATCTCTTGCAATATATATCAAACACTAATTTCTTATTTATTATTTGCAATATTTGTGTATTCATTCTGAATATACTGTAAATGCTCATCCATTGACTGCATTGTATTTAATGATATTTAATTATAATATTCAATAAACTGAACCAACATTAACTCCAAACATATATTTGTGTCTCAATTATCTGTTGCAATGCAATGGCTTTTCCTCTCTCTCTCTCTCTCTCTCTCTCTCTCTCTTTGGACCACATTTTCAATGCAATAATAGACACAATACAGTACATGACATACAAACTCATTGGCATTCACCGAAAGTGGTCATCCAGTTGTCCACTACAGTAATACAATGACTAGTGTTTGCCAACAGATGTCTCTCTGCGTGCAGTGCTGTCTGACACGAGTTTTTGGTAAACAAAATGATTGCATTTGATTTGAATGACCAATAGTTTGGACTTTGAATACCGGGCTATAGTGCGGACCAATCGGTTGACCAATCGGTTGATCATTGACTGCAATAGCGATGAGTAGTCCGACTGAGAAGGCGTTGCATTTGTTGCGATACTTACCGCGTGTTTCGCTCAACAATTTGTCACCAAATCCTTACTTCAAGAAAAAGGTAACTAATTATCTGTCATATGATGAGCACTAATGTGTGGATGTGTTAGACGTATAAAGTGGGACAATACAGACCACGAGAGAAGATCAACAAAAGCAATAGAGAGAGACTGCGCTTCTGGCCGGTCGGCTATGAGGGCGGACGCGTCCCCTTCTATCTCAAGATACCCATCGAGGAGTACTACAAGAACCACAAGTCAGTTGACAATACATGCACTCCATGTCACCACTCATTCACTCATTGAATGCATGTCATTATGATATGACCGGACAGGTATCGGCGCCAATACCCGCCCCTCACTTTGTTTCAGTTGCAGCTCATGATTGACAACAAAGCCATTGATCCCGAAGAGCCCATCGACTTGACGAGCCTTTGCAACACTAACTTCTATCGCATTGATCCCCGATTTAATCACTTTGGCGTCCATTTGACTGACGAGGGATGCAATGAATTCAGAGCTAAAGTCAATATTGAAGTCCAATACGCGAGGGAACCGGTGATCGCCGCCATCGAGAGGAACGGAGGAGTCATTACCGCCGCTTACTATGACATCAATAGTGTTATAGCTCTTCACAGACCAATGGATTTCTTCCAAAAAGGTTTCAATTCTTATGTCTATTTCCACGTTATCTTCACTCAATCCCTCATTTCATGCAAATCAGGTGAACCCATACCTAAGCGAATGCTTCCCACGGAAGACGCCGTCGAATACTATACGGACCCCAAAAACAGGGGTTATTTGGCTGACCCTCAGAAGGTTGAGGAGGAGAGACAGATATTGGCCCAAAAGTATGGCTACAAACTGCCCGATCATTCACGCGATCCGATAATGAATATACGCAAAGATCCGCGTCAAGTGTTCTTTGGCTTAGAGCCCGGTTGGGTCGTCAACCTCAGGGACCGACAGATACTTCGGCCAACAGATCCAGACCTCAACCAATATTATAGAGACTAATCGCTTTAATTGTCACATTATATCATAGTAACAAAATTAACAAAACATTTAATTAAAAGCATTACATTAGTTATACCGACAATTAAGATAATTAAAAAATGATTGTTTCCCAAAATGAGTCCAATTTTAATGTATTTGTTGTGGAACTGTGTCTTTGATATCGGTCTTGCATTCAGCCGGGTTTGGGGCCAACTCATAGTTGGCAATCAAAACTGCTTCTCTCTGTGTCTGAAAGCGAATAATGCAATCAATTAATGGTAGACTATATCAGTATTGATCTCAAGAATGGATACATACAGCTGTGAATTCTCCTCTAAGGCCAATGTAATAGACTTTTGTGGTCTCATTACCGAAATTCTTGGGAATATGAATCGTCAAGTGATGGACGGATGAAAATTTGACAATTCTTTGCAATTAAGATAATCACAAAATCAAGACTTATTTTGAAAACAAAGCCTTCAGTTATTTACTTAATAATGTACTCAAGAGTGCCATTCATATCACGCATTGTCTCGAACTCCTGGTCCGCCTCGACGTTCACGTCATCGAAGTTCATATTCGGACGGTTTTTGTACCTAATATTCAAATCACAATTCAAACCAATTATCACTTATTGTGTTATCAAACAAATTGTCAAATAAAGTGAAATACAATCGTATTCTCGAGGGATGGGACTCGTCTTCACCGCCAATAACGATAAGACCTTTAAGTTTGACATTTCCGGTGAATCTGTGGACCATTTAACAGACAATTAGATCTCATATAGTGGTCACCAAATGGTGTTAACACTAACGGTATCTTAAAGAGTAGTTCTTCATCGCAATCGCTCTCAACAAACTAAACATACCATCAAATGGACATTGGTTAGCAAAATAGCAAATCATAATCTCTAAGACAAGTGAAGACCTGTTCAAAGTTGAGTCTCTGATCCCATGGCTTGAAGACCAGTCTTCCGGAGCCTTCGACGGCTTCATTGAGACACTCGATGCGATCGGAGTCTATTCGGGTGTAAAGACTGTATAAAACGCCCAAATCTTCGGTATTATTGATGGATTGGTGGCCTTCGCACTCGTGGTCGCAGCAATGATTGCCAGACATTATCACCAAAAAGGGATCACTTCTTGTAGTGCGTGAATGAAATGCTTCACCAAATCATTTGACAAATAATTTTGACTCAAAAATAAAAGTCATTCAAACAAATGAGTCGTTCATTGATTCAGTGATCGTTTGTCACAATATTTATGAACTGAAAAACAGCTGAAAACTGAACACAACTTTTGAATGGACTTTAAGTTTGCGATCAGCTTTTGGTGACAATTATATACCATTTGTTGAATGATTCACACATTGAATGCAATTATCATTAGATCACTGAACATGTCTACAAGAGTTAGCACAAGATCTCAGTCTAGATCCAAGTCGGCCACAACTTTGGCCACAACTTCTGCCTATTTCGCCACAAAGGCATCAAATGAGTCAAAGACACCACCGATTGTCACAAGCAAACCAAAGCGAAGACAACCGCAAAAGAAACTGAAGTCTGAATCGCAAGAGTTGGACACAAAGTCTTCAGACGAGTCGTCCGAAGAGTCTGAAGCGAAGGCTTCAAAGAAGTTGTCAAAGGAGTCGTCAAAGAAGTCGTCAAACCCTGTGTTTGAGCCCAAGAATTGGAAAGAAATATTGGAAAACATCCGTAAAATGCGAGACAAAAGGGATGCAGTGGTGGACAGTATGGGCGCTGAGAAGACATTTGATGAAAGTGAAGGCAACCCTAAAGACAAACGTTTCCAAGTGTTGGTGTCTCTCATGCTTTCGAGTCAAACCAGAGATGAGATGACATATAAGACAATGCAATCGCTTCGAGAGTACGGACTGACTGTCAGTCATATCATCGACACGAGTGAAGAGGATCTCTCGGAAATGATTCGTTCCGTCAGTTTCTATCGAAATAAGACTAAATTCATTAAACAAACGGCTCTTATACTAAGGGATCAGTTTGACGGCGATATCCCGTCAACAGTGGAGGGACTGTTGAGTCTGCCGGGCGTCGGGCCTAAGATGACTCACTTGGCTATGAAGATAGCTTGGGATCAATTGACTGGCATTGCGGTCGACACTCATGTCCATCGTATCTGCAATCGACTCAAATGGACGGATACTAAAAGTCCGGAACAAACAGAGAAACAATTGGAGCAGTGGTTACCCAAAGATCACTGGGAAGACTTCAACCTCTTGGTGGTTGGATTCGGACAAACCATTTGCTCTGCAGTTAAGCCTAAATGTGGCCAATGTTTGAACCAAAAGTTATGTCCGTTTTTCAAGTCACAGAAGTATGAGTTTTAGCATTTGTTTTGTTTGAATTTGTCTTTTAATTATCGATATAAATATAACCGCAATATTCATTTGAATCGTGCAATCATTATATTTTCTGTTCATTGATATGTTGTTTTAAAATAAAATTTTTAATTTTCTACAAATATTGTTTAATATCAATACTTTATTTAAAGTAGTTTCAATCCAATAATACTGTATATCATACAAATAATTTTAATGGTAAAATTATTTTTAGGATATTGGCTAAGTATTTTATAAATGTACGGGCACATAAATATATTATATTTATTCTCAACAAAGTATATTGTATAGAATAAGTTAAATGACTTTCTGCTATAAATCTAAATAAAAATGCAGAATAATATGACTAAGTTATGGGTAAAGAGTAACATCAATGGGGAACTGGTATTGAGTTTGCAGTTTATTGTTGAAAGAGTGGCCAATATTTTATTAGATTTCCATTTTAAATGGCTATACGATTGGTTTGAGAGCACATCTGCTTTTGTTTTGAGCACTAAATTAGAGGTGAGTCCCACCAGTGTTAGGAATGTACCCCACAGTACAGTATAATTGTGTTACGGTATGCCATACCGGGTATGGTATGGTACAGAGGGGTGATGTGCTCTATCGCTCAAATCCTCTCTTTTCCATCAAATGACAGGTTATTTAGCCATAGAAACAGAATTTATTTGCAAAAATGGAAACATTACTCAAATTGAAGTTAAACTAACAGTACTTTCATATCGAATACAATCTTTAGAAATATTTAATATTCTCACCAAAAACTCATTGAATGCTTTGAATGTATAGTAGTCTACAAATGAAATTCATGTGAATTCATATAAATTCAATTCTCAAACGCTATACAAAGGAACCTTTTTAAGTGTACAGTATTGGACATAAAAATGTTTGAAACATAGAGAGTAAGTTGATGAAAACCAAATTCACGAATGAATTCATTCAAATGTATTTACAAAATTCATAACTATTGCACTAATTGTAGTGAATAAGAGTTTCCGTTCAAATCAAATGCAGTCCAATTGCATAAAGATTAGGGAAACTAAATATAACAAAGACTTCCTGCGCCTACCTTTTCAATGATTGAACTCAACATAACCTTATAATAAGTCGATTTTGGTTTAGGACTCACACATCAAATGCATACAAATATGAGCCACACTTCAACACTTTTGAATAGCAGATGGTTTATGATGTGTTCAATTGGTTCAACAATTGTTGCATAATATATGACAATATTTTTGATAACGCATTCAGTTGTGCACTCATTCATACGGAACCATTGGTTTTGCTGTGAATTTAAAGTTGTTTTAATCAATTTTGTCCATTTTTGCTTCAATGATAAGAGATCTCGAATATATACAATACCGCAACTACTCCTACATACAAAACACCCTGCACCCACAATATGCTGGGTCTGTCCAAATGTGCGGGCTCATTATTTCTAAACTCATCAATGCTGTTTGTGATTTGCACTCTTACCGGTATAGTTAGTTCATTGAAGTATTGCTTTTGAAATTTGCATTTTAGGTACAAAGCATAAGAACATATTTCTAAATCACTATTCATACCATAGAAATAAATTCAATTTTAGATTTAATGTCTAATAAGAAAATAACTATAACTATAAAGAGTATGATTTAAAAGTTTTTGAAAATATTTGTCTGCATATAATGTGATGGAAGAGAAAGTTGTGTGAAGTGAGAGTGAAATGAAGAGCAGCTGAATACCGGGAATCAGGTATTAATCTATGAGTGAATGCCATAACGAGCAGATGATTTCATTCGTGAATTACTTTCATATAATGTGATCTTATATTTTGTGCACAATTTAGTCGAGTCTAGTCTATAGCCTGTGTTTTAAATAAATATCAAATTAAAAATAATTGATTCAAACCATTGATATGTATGCCATTAATGAGCAGATTTGTCGCAACTGAAGCCCATTGTATCCAATGGTTACGCGAAGAATCAAAGCACTGAATCGATAGAATCGTGTCGTCAGGCAGTGGTTATTATCCATTATATTACTACTCAATGGATTCTGTGCTCCAACTCATATAAATACTGCCAACATATATACCAGTTTCAAATACACCATGCTATTTATTCAACTGGTTATCAAAGGTATTTATAAATATTTCTAATTTCCAATTCTATTTATTATTAAGAATTATGTAAAATGTCTTAAAGTAACTGATTTAGTCTTAAAACAAGCCTATTATCAAAGGATGACTCATACTATGCATACTCTCTGTATTCTCAATGCAAGCTTTTGTTCAATACAATCGACTCAATAATTTAGTAATCATTTCATTTTAAATAACCAAGTAAATTTTATATTATTTTTACATAATTAATTAAATTTTGATGTAAAATGCAATTTTTATATAATAATACTATTTTTATATAAAAATTCTACATTATTCTTATACAGTAACTATTTTTAGAATTTGATTCTACAGTACAGTATAATTCCCAGAAAAATACATTATTGTTTGACGTTAGCAAGGAATATTTTGCATTATACTTTTTTATGACATTTAAGCAAGTCGTTTAAAATTCCTTAAAAGCAAAAACTTCTTTCCGATTAAATGCTGTCATTGTTTGCCTTCAAATCTAACGGTTTATATCGGTTTCAAACCGAAACAGTTTAAGTGCAACGACTTTGGCATTGATTTTGAAGTATAAAACACACGAAATATGTGTTAAAAGAAATTACATCTATTTATCCGTTAGAGACGATTGTATTGTGTGTGAAAAGCGGGTGCAGTCTATGGCATAGAGTCTATACTCTCCAATAGGTTATAGTTTAGGAAAAAATATATTTCAAAAGACTAGTAGAGTATGTATTATACTGTAGTTGTCGTCTGTATTAAGGGCAGGGATTTGGCTTACCTAAGGGTAACAAACCCGGAGTGCATTTCCATTCAATATACCACTAACTAAACCAATAGTGACGTCACAAGACAAGGCACGTGCCTCTCGTACAGCGCGTGTCGCGTGCGGTCCGTACTCGAGAGGGAACAGACATTGACTGCACGCGCTGTCACTTACACGAAGAGAGTATGACTCAAACGCCGCTCGCATTCACTCTTCCAGTCGTCTCTCATCTCCACATCTCTTCGTTTCTCTTTTTAGTTTCATTTTATTTTATTTATTAGTTTTCTCTCAATTCTCTTCATTTCTTTTAATCGCAACTGTATATAACTGTAAGTAAATTATACTTTTGTTTTCACTTTACTTTTAAACTTAATTTGCATCATGTTTGTCAACTCATTGGCAATATATTTGTTTTCTATGTTTTATTCTATATTTCTTTCAAACAAATTCAAAACTTTATGAAAGCACTTCTGAATATGTTTTCTGATATATCTAATAACTGTTTATTTAATAATTGCAAAAATATGCAAATTAAGAATATAAGAAGAAATGTTGAAATGAGTGAAAGTAACTAATTATGACATTGAAAGTCAATTAAAGAGCGGAACCATTAGTGAGGAGATGTTAGAACTCATCGCTAACTCTATGATCGATGAGAAGACACATCTCGTGACCAGTGATCGGTTAAGACCGCGATTTTGGTCACAACCTATGGTTTTATCGGTGCAGCTGAGAGACTACTGGGGAAACACAGAATCAGGTGGTAGTCGAGTGCGGTTCCCCTGTTTAGGCATTAGTTTGCGAGACCCCTCTCATACCAACTGTCTGGGGGTCTGGAGATCATTGCATAGCGAAAGGCAGAGCGCGTGTCGCGTGTTGTACTGCTCGCTCTGGTTTGCAGTTTAGGTCTACAGTATTGTAGAGCACAGAAACTCATACCTTAGTATATGCCAGCCCTCAGACAGCTGTTCAATTAAGGGTATTGTACTCTATCGCACATTTCTATGACCGCTCCATCAGCCAGACTAACACTGGCGGGGGTGAGCCCATGCCCTACCAGTACTTTACACTCTAGTCTACACACAACTCCTCTATAGCTCTAAAAAGTGAAAGTTATATGAATGGACTCCTATTGAAAAGTAGCTCTCGTTTTATTGTTTGCTACTAAAGAAGTTTATAAATTCTAAAAAGTTTGAAAAAGACCAAAAATATTCAAAAGGTCTTCAAACTCTCTCTCTCTCTCAGTCTCTAACTTTGTTATACCATATTTTAATGATTTTTATTCAAATATCAATATTTCATATAAATTTTGCGATAATTATTTGNCTCTCTCTCTCTCTCTCTCTCTCTCTCTCGACTATAGTATAAATGATACTGAAATGTGAATAAATACTAAACATCGGTCGTCTATACAAACAAATAATTATCGCAAAATTTATATGAAATATTGATATTTGAATAAAAATCATTAAAATATGGTATAACAAAGTTAGAGACTGAGAGAAATTCCGGTGAAGTGAGACAGTTATGTTTGGTATTAGCAATGAAATGCACAAAAAACATAACAATAGGTTCACGTCATATAAAATAAATGTATGGGTATGTGATGCGGGGGATGGGATGCCGATAGTGTGAAGCATAGCGTGCAGTTGTACTCCAATGAGTGGTGTTTTATGGGAATATAGAAAACTCGTTCAGTTATGCTGTATGTCTTATAGTGTACTGACAGCTGTATCTGTAATCTATTGAATCACATAACCGTTTATTGATAATGATATACCGTTCCTAACGGTCAGACATCCACTCAATTCATTAAATTCTTTTTCGGTTGGAATCGACAACATTCTGGACTTTGCAAACATATCTCACAAACAATTCATGCATTCATTGCTTTATTACATTAAACGCATTGTATTTGCAAATGAGTTATAAATAATTTTCTCATTTATTAAATTCATTTTCCGTTGAGCTCCAAATGTTTTAAACTATAACTCAATAAACCAAACTCACAAAAATAAATTTATCTTTTTGCATGATTATATTTCAGACCATTCACTAACTCAGTAAAAATGTAACGAAAACACAAAATGATTGAAAACCACATCAAAAAAGTTAAGCGCAAAGACGCGACGATTCCGTTACGATATGGGGTGGAAGACAACTGGCACTGGGATAAGGATGACAAGTCCAATGAGGTTCGCTATCACACCACTTCCACATCCACTATGCATTTTGTCAATTAACTCATTTGTGTGATTGTATGTATGTATATATCAGGTTGTGCTGTATGGGCCCGATATGCGGATCGCACACTTCCATCCCAAGTGGAGCAACGGAACGGCTGCTGTCAGGGGCACTAAAGTGCTTAATCGCTGCTCTGCAAGATTTTATTGGGAAGTAAGTCATTCAATATCACAATACTGTAGTTGGCATTCAGTTTTGGTTTCACAATATTTCGTTTCAAACAAAAACTCATTAACACTTGTGATTCATTAGATAGATATATGTGAGCGCATATTTGGCACCAGTATGATGTTTGGTGTGGCCACTAAGCACTCCAGACTTCACGCCGACTCCTTCCTCAACATAATAGGTGAAGACCAGCACAGCTTTGGACTGTAAGTTATTTGAAGCACTTTATCGCTAATTACTTGCAATAATTGCCAAAACCCTGCCTCTCACTGACCACCACTTCTGCGCTCTATTTAAAGCTCACACAAGGGTTTGCTTTGGCATAACGGCCGGTGGCAGTCATACACCCGACCCTTTCGTGAGAACGAGTCCACAACTATTGGCCTTTTGTTTGACTCCAAAGAAGGGACTCTCACTTATTTCAAAGATGGCATATCTCTCGGCATTGCATTCACTGGACTTCATCTAATTGGAGAGGAATTGTATCCAATCATCAGTTCCACTGCAGCTAAGACTGAGATGACTGTGAATAATATGCGACGAGAATATTACAATCTTCAAGACAGGTATACTAGTTCATTTTGAATTACTTGTCAATATAATGATTCATTTATATACCACTCTATATGCAGGTGTAGACACGTTATACTTAAGAGTCTTCGCAGTGAGAGTGATGTCCAGGAGCTGAACCTTCCGAACGCTATTCAGATGTATTTGAGAACCAATCGGGAAGAGCACCACAAAGCCAGGAGTCAAGTGAAGGAACCACCGGTTAATTGTAATAAAAGCAATTCAATTACTACTCATTTTCATCAGTCATTGTATTCTTGTGTCGATTCCCATAATTTGTGGACTTTTTGTAAAAACTCATCGAAAACTCCTTTTCTAGAACTTTGAAACACATTTCGTTTAAATTACTTATCCTATGATTGCATTAATGATTCAATTCTTTACTTACATTCTATAACTTATTCTTTAAGAATCTATTTTAATATTTACTTACCAGACATGACTTATTCCTTATAAAACATATTACAATATCTGTGTTATTTAACATTCATTAATTCAATATATAGGATAATCTTTGATTTAATGTTCAATTTTCATTCCTATATTTAGTACTTAAAAAATATTTATTTTTACTTTTTTTAATCTAATATTTCTTTAACCAAAACAATATATTCTCTGCATTTTAGTGTCAACTAAAGGCAGACTCTATACTATACTAAACATTCCAAATGTAAATAATTAGCAAATATTTAAAATTCTCAGTCATTTAATCATAAAACTATGATAAATGTGGAGATGAGTGCAAATCTAGTCAATTTGTCAAATAACGTAATGTTTTCTCAGTAAAACATTTAAACAAAATGTAACATATTTTTTGTAAATAAAAAATTCCCCTTAAAAGCAAAACACAAATCATAAGATTTTATTAGTAATTTATTTAAATTGAAAAAATTATTGTAATTTACAAACAATAGATTGAATATTGAATTGAGTGGACAATAAGATTTTCAATAAAGTGATGTTTCAAACACTATGGAGTCATTTGTCGGTCGCGGCAGAGTTTGATTGCAAGGCTTTAGCCATAAATAGTTTGGAGATATTTTGCGTGGAATAAGAGGCCGACTGTTGACAATAGTTCAGTGTTTGGCTGTAATTGAGGAGCGATTCCAGCCGTTGCAACGGAGCCAACGGTTTGAGGATTTTGTTCACCTCGTCCTCAGTGAGCGCCGGTTCCCCTCTCTGTGCTCTCATAGCGTTGTCTTTGGCCACGTGTTGCTGTTTAGCCGTCTGTTGTCTCAAGTGATTGCAGTGTTTACTCACTTCTTCCACGCATTTCATCTGCGACTGCAATGTCTTCTCTAAGACCCCGAAGCCTCCCATATCTAGCAATTGTTTGCCGCAGTCGACGGCCACCTCTTCGTCCAATTCGCACAGCAATGCGTTTATGAGATGTGAGTTCTTTATCACTACCGGAATCTCTTCGAAGAACTTGTCGAACGACATGTGATTATTCCTCAGAGTGTCTGCAGTGAACTCTCCCTCTTTGCATAACTTCATCGCAACGTTTGTCAAGCGATACGCCTTTAAGGACAGGAATCCACGCGAAGTACGGATGGGATCGTAGAAGAGTACCACCGACTCCTCGATGGCCGACTGATACATGTATTGCGAGTCAATGGTCTCGAGTTTACTGATTTGACTGCCGTATGGGTTTGTCTGATACCATCCCACGTGCAGGTGATCCACATTCACATTCCTCAGGTGTCTCATCATAACGCACTGGTATTCCACTAATTGGCGGCAAACGAATCAATCAATTAAACGAGTCTTAAGAGCAATGAATGAGTGGTTAAACAAACGGTTCGTACTTTCGTCGGTCTCGTCCTCTTCGGTATTACGCGGAAATGGGAAGCAATTCGTGATCTCAAGCTTATTGTCCACCACGAGACCCAACAGCACTCCCTGGACTTCACCGGAACCGCTGCCCTCTTCGTGACAGTGTTTGATGATCTTCAGGATGACCTGTCATTGTATACAAAGCGTGTTAATAGAGATCAAGAGTACAACCGGTGAAGACATACGAGTCCATCGATTTGCACGAAACTGATGGGACTCTCGCGGCTCTGTTTGCGGCGACCGAACGAAGACATCGAAGACATGTTTGGCCCGAAACTCAATCAACTCGTGAAGGGATGGACCGATGGATCAAATGAGTGAATACTGATGAGTGAACTCCACGTGAATAATGGCTGAGATTTTGCCAAAAAGACAGTCAAACCACTCAACACTGATAGCGCTATCTTTTGGTCACTTTTGGCACAAAACTGATCATTCATTTAGTCATCGATTTGGTGACGAAATCCGTAAACAAGTGAAGAATGTGTGCAAAGACTACACGTGTGCTGACTGTCAACCACTGACACCACTGTCCACTGAATGCGTGACCCGTCTGTCGGACCAGAAGGTGATCACCGGAAGAATGAGTGGCAGCGAGTCGTTTGGATGGACCATAAATCTGGTGAATAGTGTGATCGGAGTGTCCTTACTATCGATGCCCTTCTGCTTCAAGAAGTGTGGCATTGTGTTGAGTGTGGCGTTGATAGTGATGTCTTCGCTCCTCAATCGGTTCAGTTGTCATCTTCTGCTCAAGTCGTCAGTTGTGGCCAAACGCAGGAACTATGAGTTACTGGCCTTTCATGCGTTCGGATGGACAGGAAAACTGATGGTAGAGTTGTCTGTCTTGGGCTTCCTGTTGGGCACTTGTATTGCATTCTTTGTGGTCATCGGAGACATCGGACCATCGCTTGTCTCGCAACTGCTGGACGTCCCGAATGGCCCCCAATTGCGAGCATTTGTGATGACATTCTTAGGGATGTTTGTCGCGCTTCCGTTGGCACTTCTTAGACGTGTCGACAGTTTGACCTCATTTTCCATGCTATCATTAGGTCTTTACATCATTGTTGTGCTCAAGATGTTATCGGAAGCGTTGACCAACACGTCCGGCAAGAGTGCCACCAATATATGGCAACAAATCAATTACTGGGACTCCGAACACCTCTTCTCATCGCTTCCCATCTTCTCGATGGCGCTCTCATGTCAGACACAACTCTTCGCAATCTTCGACTCATCACTGCTTCATAATAACGATCACTTCAGTCTTCGGCGAATGGAAGCCACAGTAAACCGATCTCTGGATATCTGTTCCGCTATTTACATATCAGTGGGAATCTGTGGTTATATAGCGTTCAGTGACCAACCATTTGGTGGTAATATACTGCTATACCTGCCCTCCGGTTTCATCTCAACCTTTACTTTAATAGCATTCGTGTTCACAGTCTTAATAAGCTTTCCGTTATGTCTGTTCCCGTGTCGGACATCATTGCACTCACTTATGTCCCGGAAGGGAACCGCTCCCCTAATCACCACTTCCTCGCCTTCTATACATATGTCTGACCAACACTTCAGGCTATTGACAGTTGCGCTGATAGTGACCACAATCGGCGTATCAATTCTCGTGCCTTATATTGAAGTAGTTTTGGCGATATTGGGCTCAACTATCGGTGCAGTCATTTGCTTCATATTCCCGGCGCTTATATTCCTGAGACTGACTACACAACAGACCACTGAACGACTTTTGGCCCAATTTGTGGTCATAAGCGGTGTCTTTATTCTGATCGTTTGCACGTTTTCTACATTCAATGACATCTATTTCACCAAAAATGTCAATCTAATCGAAGACATGGATTCACTGAAACCATTGAATCGAATCAATAATCCAATGATAACTGAATTACCGATAGAGAGACCGAAAGAAAAAGACTTAAAACCCGAAGTAAAGGTTCCTCGACCGGAAGCGCCGGTTGAGGCGAAAGTGCCGTTACCTCCGATTGACACGAATAAAGCCAAACGACAGGAAGAACTGCTCCAAAGACTGGAAAGACAGCAATTGGAGCACAAAAAACTTTTGGACCAACAAAAGGATCTGTTGAATGAAATGAATAAACACAACCAACTGTTCCATAGCCTCGAGAGTAAGAAACTAGTCATCAATGAAGACCTTGCGTCCAATCATACAAATGACAAACATTTTCATCATCAACTTAATCCAATTGGTTCTGACCAACAGATTCTTAACTCAAATGATAAGCTAAGAATTAGTGATAAGAATGTGTCAAAAGGATCTGTGGTCGAGAAGAAACCTCCGGATCTGTTAAGTGATAATCGCATGAAAAATAGTTCTCTGAAAGTGAGAAATGAGAAGAAAGTGGAACTCAATTCGGTTGTCAAGAATGACAATAAGAGACCAAAAGTTGACTACAAATTGAATGCTAAACCGAACCACAAGTTATTGAATGAGACAAAGATTTTCGAGAATAAAGAAACGGATCAATCATTCCGAAGAAATGTGTTATCGAAACACTGATACAACTTATTTTCAATTGTCTTTTATTGTGTGAAATACAAATTGATAACCTATTTTATAAACTATTGGAGTAATAATTTATAAAAATCTGATGTACTGTATAATAGTTCTGTGATAATATTTATTATCAATAAATTATTTTTAAACTCAATCATATTTGTGAAAAAATATCATTATTTAATTACTACTGACTACAAATACTACGGTATACTACAGTATATAGCTGAACAGTTTGTAAATGTTTAATATTTTTCTCTTAATACAGTATTATTATGAATAATAATTTATAAAAGTAAAATGAACAAGACAAATAAGTAAGTAGTAAAAAATAAGCAAACTCAGGGCAAAGTTTTCCAAAAGTAAAATAGTAGCCAAAATGAAATATTCATATGAGAAATTGGAGCTTAAATTACTCAAAGAAATTGATTTAAAAATTTGCAAACATTTTTTTATCCAGTTAAATTAGGTATGTCTAAAAGTTTCCTAAGCTTTCAATTTTTCAAGAAACCTACTGTATTATAATAAATGTGACACTTCCAGTTGCAAACATTAAATAGAGATAAGTTATACCGTAAGTTGAGATATATTATAAAATAAATATATCGATATTATTGCTCCTATAGAATAAAAACTAAAAGTTGTTTCAATTTATTGCTTAAAAATTGTTGACGACTTTGCAATCAATACCTTAATTTATATAATCATTAATGTTATGAGTTTTAAGTTAAAACATTTAACTTAAAAGTTGAGAATTTATTTGATAAACCATTAGAGAGTAGACCTAAAAGTACTTACATTTCTTGAGGCCATCCTATGCTGAGGTCTGTCTGTGTGTTGGCTGACTGTGTGTGCGGTCAGTCCTTAGCATCATATCTACCGCTAGTATTTGTACATTATTTCTATATTTCTATATTTATTCCCAAATTATATTTCTAATTTTATTTGATTAATGATTAATAGAATTTTCAATACAAATTGGATATGAAAACTGTACTTATATTACGATAAGTAAATCTTAATATGATTTTACGTATAATTAAATAAATTAATAATAAAATTGAATTTATGTTTCATAAACAAGATTATAGTAATTAAATTGAGTGTCGATTACATGAGGGATTGTTTTTGTCTAAAATCAAAGCAAATCGTGATTTAGTGATTTAGATCAGGGATGCCCTTAAATGTAGGCATTAAATAATAATGTCTTAAAGTGCTATATCCAAAAAACATAATAAATATATTTAAATTTTATATTATATTAATATATACCGTAAATAATTTTGTTTATAAACTATAGGTTAGAAAATTCTACTAGTATAACATTAATTATTAAGTAAATTTAAATAAACAATATTCTAAGGAATTATTTTTGACATTTAAATATATTTTGAACACACAAAGCTTGAGGTTGCCATGAATTTTGAATGGTGCATAAATTTTTAAGAAAAATTAGCATTAGCAAGTTAGCATTGAAAAATTCCAACCCATTTAGATTGCAAATACTGTTGACTCCAAACTGATTGAAAACTTTGTCCGTAATTCATAAAATAATAAGTGACTCTTTGGTGAAATAGTTTTCACTAAATAAGAAGTTTTATGTGAGAAACAGTCATAAAAAAAGCAGAATTCACACAATTTATATAACAATTTATAGATTAAAATTTAAATTATTTTAAAGTCGATTAACCATTTTTGATAAAAATTTTCATTTCGTTAATGTCTATAAAAGAGCCAAATCTGTCAAAATAACTAAAAGTATTGCACTTACAATACTTCTTATAGTTTTCACAACTTTTCAGTAATAAAATATAGAATAAATTATAGATTTTTATAGTTGCCATTATTATATTTGTATAAATAATATAATTTGAATGTGTCAATACCTCAAAAATATCTGGAATCAAGCAAATTATAATCAAGAAATACATTTTAGTTTAGATTTGTGTAAAATTATAAAATGAACATTAATTAGGATATAATTTCTGCAATTTATAATAAGTTTACATTATTTACGATACAAATTTTTTCTTACAAAATTTGATGCTTAATCTTTTAACTGTAAAATGACCTAAAATTTTACAATTTATGCACAAAATAACTTGATTGTGACACATTTTTATTAATTTTGAAATAGAGATAATTTCATTCATTAACCACTTTTGCAATTAATTAATATCATCTAATTATTAAAGAGTTTCTTAAGCGAGCGATTGAGTGTGTGTGTGTGTGTGTGTGTGTGTGTGGTCAGACACTCCCCAACGGGGCGGGAATATTACAAAGTCTGCGATCGCAACCCCCGGCTTAACCGATGGACACGTGAGTACTGTAAAGATTGATGGATCCTAAGGATTGAATAGATATTTAATGAGTAGTTATGAAAATTTCTATAAGACTTACAGCGTGATCGAATGAGACAGAATTAATGACCATAAAGTTAGCGAGGTCATATTTATATGGTGCATAATTTCCATGCCAAGAGACCACATCGTACGGGCTGTGCTGTTGTTGTGCCACAAATAACTTTCCCATAAACTTATTGACAACTTTATAGTCGCAGAGTCTGTCCTCATAATAAGCGGTCGGTGTTAAGAAATCTCTTGGATTTGCTAAACCGTTGGCTCCAATGGGCCCTAAATTAGGCAAAACAAAGTGATTGTCGTACACTTCGAGGACATAACCCCGGGATTGCTGGTTGACGTCCACCGAGAACTTGATTCCCTGTTGAATAACACAGATCTCGTTGGGCGAGACTTCCATTCTTCCGAATTCTGTGGTTATAAACAGTTTTCCCGTTTGCGGGACAATAAGGAAATCTCCGTCAGAATTGTAGAAACACTTGTCTTTCATCGGACTATTGATGGCATAAATATGAACAGCGATTCCGTTGCGAGCCCTCGGATCTCCGGCACCGCATAAGGTGTTCAAACCGTCCACAAAATCCACTTTATTATTATCTTCGGGTAGTTTGAATGGATTCCATCGCAACTGATTAGGTGTCGGTTCAATTTGGTCCCAATTGGAGGTTAGGTTACTTCCATTGTATGCTTTGAATGGGCTGTGAATAACTGATGGCCGGATCCGATATAACCACCTGTTTTGAAAATATATAACTAATTATTAAGAAAA